TAGCACTCTACCACTTGAGCCACAGCGCCACTTCCGGCTTTTTTTTTTTCTGCTTATGTGGTACTGAGGAATGGAACCCAGGGCCTCAGGCATACAAGGCAAGCGCTCTACCACTGAGCCACCTTCCCAGCCCCTGAGGATCCAGAATCTTGATGGTTACAAAGAGCTGCCTTGATGAGTGGCACAAGAAGAACTTAGAATGGTCTAGAGGACTGCATGGAAACAAGCCTTCCAAAGGACGCAGTGTGCTGCCTTGCAGGGCAAGTCAGGGCTTTCTATACTTGCCATTCTGGGGCTGTGTGTGCATGTGTGTGCGCTGTTACTCCTTCCCTTTAGCACCTTTGTATTTATGATAGCTGGCAATGTGAGGCCTGGGGGGGGCGGGGGGGGGCTGAAGAACTGCACAAGACTGAGTCTACACATGGCACAGCTCTGGGCCACAGAGGATTAAGAAACTGTCCTTAAATCATAAAAAGATAACTGAGTTCATACCCATAGACATGTAATTTCAAGACTGTTTAAGTGAAAATCTTGATAGAGTACCTTTCACAAGTGTAACATTCACAGAACTCATTATTTTCTCCAAAAAACCCATCTCCGTAATAACAAGAAATTTCTTCTCCAGGTTCAATATCTCTTAGAGCCTTCACACACGCTGTATCACGACCAGTTGACACAAACTGAAATAAAAAGAACTCATTGAGAATCTCATACCTGAGGCAGAAACAAAATATTTGAGGGTTATAAAAAGCTTTTGTTGCTTACCTTACAGTTAGGTCTGCAATCTGAAAAATGTCCAAAAGAGAAAGTCAATTAACTGCTGATAAGATCTGAAACACGAACAGTTACAGAAATCTGAAAAGGCTTCCAGACAATTTCACAATTTCCAACAGAACTGTAGGCCCTAGGCTGCAGGGGAGCATTTAAGGGAACCGGCCTCTCACTAGCCTCGGCAGGCCTCCCCAGCACCAGCGCAGACACCTGGGAAACACAGCTTACCATGGTTTATAAACGCAGCAGGGCCGAGCCAGAGTTGAGCACAGTTTTTCCTTGTGGAATACATGACACTGAAGTCGTTTTCTCCATGTCTAAGTAGCATATTCTCTTCAATTTCTGAAAGTTCCGCAATACAACCCACCAGTAATTCTATTTTGTCATTTCGTTTCCTATTTAAAATATGTGATAAAAATTACTAGTAATTATAAACCGTAAGGCTTCTCCTAATAAAATAAGCCTGCCCAATAAATACCAGAAACTGCGTGTTTTGCCTGCCTGACTTGGGATGCCAGCTGGGTATCCGCTTTTCCTCCTTGGACCCCTATAGCCTGTACCATGGTTACTTATTATCTACCTGTCCCTATGAGAGAACGGGAGTGCCTCCAGAATAAGGATCAGGCCACCCATGTGTCTGAGTCTCCAGCAGCACATAGAACAGTGCTTCCTGGGTACAAAGTGCTTGCAGACTCGCTGAGCCTGGATGAAGCAGACAGGGACCAACAGGGGTAAAGCATTACGAGGACCCCAAGGTGAAGAGCCACCAGCTAGAGCACACAGCTTACTACGAGTGTTACACAAGCTCAAGTTTTCACGTGACCACATGAAGAAAGTAAAGAGACAAGAGATCTGGGCACCGATGGCTCATGCTTGTAATCCTAGCTACTCAGGAGGCTGAGATCTGAGGATCACAGTTCAAAGCCAGACTGGGCAGAAAGTCTATAAGACTCTTATCTCCAATTAACCACCAGAAAACCAAAGTGGTGCTGTGGCTCAAGTGGTACAGTGTTTGCCTGCAGCTGAAGAGGTCAGGGGCAGTGCCCAGGCCCAGAGTTTAAGCCCCACGACTGGCCAAAAAAAAAAAAAAAGAGACAAGTGATAAAATTATTATTATGTGTGAGTATGTGTATGTGTGTATGCGTGCACGTGCGTGCAGTGATGCTGGGGCTTGAATTCAGGGCCTTGTTCTCTTGGATAGCCTTTGCTCTCGGTAGGCACTACCACTTGAGTCACAGTTCCACTTCCAGCTTTATGTTAGTTAATTGGTGGTAAGAGTCTCATGGATTTTTCTGCCCAGGTTAGCTTTGAACCACCATTCTCAGACCTTACCTTCTTGAGTAGCTAGGATTATAAGTGTGCACTACTAGTACTTAGCTTGAAATTATTTTTGGTAATCTATTTTAACTTAACATGTCCAAACTACTACTTAAGTATGAATCAATATGAGCTATCAATGAGAAATCAAGTGTAACTGGAAACTCTGTATCTGCAATACAGAGCCCTTCTACTTCACACTGACGCCAGGGCACGGGCTCAAGGTCACTGGTGGCCGGTGTACCGCACAGGAGGGCACCACATAGTGCAGCTATAGCTCCCTAGCTTCCAACCCATCTGCCATAGGGTCTGCACTATCTCAGGCAAAGCACAGTCGTGTATCCACACTTCTCTCAGGGGCCCGGCGGTACTGCTGCCACTTTACTCATTCCAGTCTTAGGTACCTGATCCTTAACATTTTTGCTACAGAAAATATTCAAAACTGTGAGTGCGGCTGCACGTTCCTCCTGGGAGATAAGCTAGGGAACAGGCGTTACAAGAAAGATACGGTCATGGAATCTCCTCTTCTCACTTGTGGCTGATGTTGAGCTCACTAGCAAGGTTAAATACGATGACTTATTAAGATGCTGTGTGTGGGATTTTTTGAGGAAAGGTGCTTAAAGCACCTAAAACCATTAAGTCTTCACCTCCCAGACTTTCCTCTAGGCTGGCAGGAGACTGACTAGAAGGCTGGACATCAACCCTGGAATCCCCAATCTCTTAGTAGTCTACACATTGAGGGCATCCAGCCTCAACCTAGGGAGAACTAAAAGCATTTTGGCCCTGTGATGGGACCTGAGTTTCCCCACTGCACTCCACTCTGGCCAGAGCAATGCTCTACCAGTGACTGCAGGATTAACACTGCCTTCTGACATTAACACTTCAAGGGCAATTTAGGAAATCTTTAAATAAAATGATGAGTTTAAACTAGAATAATAATTACCACTCTTTTGTTGCAACTATTTTGGCTCCATTTTGTTCTGATGAATACCTATTACAAGGCAGTATTTCAAATCCACTGTCAGTTGCAAACATTCGCAAGTAAATAAATACCTAAAACAGGAGAAAAAAATTACTATATTATTTATGCTGCTACGTTTGCTCAGAATTGTAAAAGAACACCATTACCAACAGTGTAAAAAGTTTACTGTTGGGCTGGGAAGGTGGTTCAGAGGTAGAGTGCTTGCCTTGCACGCATGAGGCCCTGGGTTCAATTCCTCAGTACCATATAAGCAGAGAAAGCCAGAAGTGGCGCTGTGGCTCAAGTAGTAGAGCGCTAGCCTTGAGCTGAAGAGCTGAGGGACAGTGCCAGAGTTCAGGCCCCACAGCCAACAACAACAAAAAAAGTTTACTGTTATTTTGGTTTTTCACATATGAGTACCTAACGGGCTGTCTACTTCACTCCTGGATGACCAAGTTTCCTACTGGAAAAATGACTTAAAGGGGCCAAGAAATGACTCAACTGGCTTTGCGCGCGCAAGGCTTGTGTTCCTTCCCTAGCACTATAAAAGGGGGAAAAAAGAAAACCAAACCAAACTTAATACCCACACTTCCATGAGCTGTGCAATCTCCTCTAAGCAGGAAAACAGCATCAATCTCCTTAAGAAAGACTTACATGTTCCTTGAATAATTTCTCCTGCATTTTGTTCTTGTTGAGAAAATAGTGCCGTGCCCATTCACCCGACGTCAAACATTTGAAGGCTTTCTCTAAGTGTTCATCTTTCTTAAAACGTTCAATTACTTCCTTTAGTTCTTCTTGCCTTCCCTTAATAGGCCGGAATCTAAAAGAAATCAACGTAAGTTTAAGTTAATCTGTCCCAATTCTTGGGTTACCACATTGATCCACTTTAAGAGATCTTGAGAGTTAATACCCTAAAACCAGCCATAGTTAGTAATTAGAACAAATATCTAACAAAAGCAAACAATGGTCTTGACAATGTTCAATTATTACAGTGACCACCTGGAAATACAATTTCTTTCTTCAAACCATTTTTTGTTGTTGTTGTTGTTGGTTGTGGGGCCTGGACTCTGGGCCTGGGCACTGTCCCTCAGCTCTTCAGCTCAAGGCTAGTGCTCTACCACTTGAGCCACAGCACAGCGCCACTTTCACCTTTTCTGTTTATGTGGTGCTAAGGAATCGAACCCAGGGCTTCATGCTAGCACTGAGCCACCTTCCCAGCCCCTTCAAACCATATTTTATTATTTATACTTAACTATATCTAATTTATTGCCAACTAATTAGTAGATAACATAAGACTGAAAGGGCTGGCAAGGTGGCTCAGTGGTAGAGCGCTTGCCTTGCATGCATGAGGCTCTGGGTTGGAATCCTCAGTACCACATAAGCAGAAAAAGCTGGAAGTGGCATTGTCGCACAAGTGTAGAGCACTAGCCTTGAGCTGAAGAGTTGAGGGACAGTGCGCAGGCCCAGAGTTCAGGCCCCACAAATAACAACAACAAAAAAGACTGAGAGCCCTTCATTCTAAAGTTGTCTTCTCAGCAGGGCGCTGGTGGCTCACGCCTGTAATCCTAGCTACTCAGGAGGCTGAGATCTGAGGATCATGTTTCAAAGCCAGCCCGGGCAGAAAAGACCATGAGACCCCTATCTCCAATAAACCACTAGAAAACCAGAAGTGGCGCTGTAGCTCAAGTGGTAGAGCGCTCGCCTTGAGCTGAAAAGCTGAGGGACAGCGCCCAAGCCCAGAGTTCAAGCCCCACAACCGACAAAAAAAAAAGATAAAGTTGTCTTCTCAGTAAGCTAAGTCCTTTAAATAAAACTATTCCGATCTTCATTTCAAAATTCTCCACATCAATTTCAGCTGGCTAGTTTTCTCACCAAAACAACTGCCAAAAAATTAAAGAGGATTATAGATTGCTATTTAAATAAAATATACTAAGAAAAAAAAATCTTAGAATTGGCTGGGAAGGTGGCTCAGTGGTAGAGCGCTTGCCTTGCATGCCTGAGGCCCTGGGTTCGATTCCTCAGCACCACATAAGCTAATAGGAAAAAGCCAGAAGTGGCACTGTGGCTCAAGTGGTAGAGCGCTAGCCTTGAGCTGAAGAGCTGAGGGACAGCACCCAGGCCCAGAGTTCAAGCCCCATGACCAGACCCCCCCCCCAAAAAAAATCTTAGAATTGATCAAGATGAATTAAATTCATGAACTGCTTTGTTGAGTGACAACTCCTTTGTACCACTGCTTAAAGGTAATAATTAAAAAATTAGAGGCTCAGGAGGGAATATTTGTAACTATGGCTCTTTAATAGAATTACACATCTCATGAGTTTGAAAATACTAAAACTGAGATAAGATTCAGCACTAAGTCCTGCAAAGGAAACATTCAGCAGAATTCTTTCAGGATAAGCTATCACAATGTGCCAACTGACATTTCTGTACGATTGCAAGCCACCTACTTCACCAAGGACTGTTTATTTATTTATTTTTGGGTCCGGTCATGGGCCTGAACTCTGGGCCTGGGCGCTGTCCCTCAGCTCTTCAGCTCAAGGCTAGCACTCTACCACTTGAGCTACAGCGCCACTTCTGGCTTTTTTCTTTTTGCATATGTGGTGCTGAGGAATCGAACCCAGGGCCTCATGCATGCAAGGCAAGCGCTCTACCACTGAGCCACCTTCCCAGCCCCACCAAGGAGTGTTTATTAGTGCCCCATGTGTACCCACTCAGGAAATGCTACAGTGAGAAATACCAGAAGCAAAAGACAAGGCTACTGCTCTATAAAAGAAAACTGTAACTGGAATAAGAAGTATAGAAACAGTTAAACTAGGCACTGGCACCCAGAACCATGTTCATTGGTGAATCCAAAATCTGGAAAAGATAGGATGACTGATAGGAACAGGAAGAGCGTGGTCTGGAAGTGACAGTGAGCTGGACAATAAAGGAAGTGATTTCACTTTTAAAAGAAAAAGCACAATACTGCAGGCAAGCAAGGGAAGGCAAAGTAAGAAGAAACACAAGAAGAAGATCTTAAGACTGGATTCAAATAGTTGACCAGGGCAAGTTGTCTAGCAATAGTGAAGGAAAATACTAGAACTAAGGAAGAAATGAGGTTCAGGACAGGCATAATGCTGTTCCCTGGATGGGACTTCTAGAGGACTTTAGATGCATTAACATACAGCTATCACCTGGAACTTACACCAGACCCTAGTTTCAAATAACTGGATTTTCACAACTGTTATGAGCACAGAGCACATACATTCTCATACAGATAAATGTAAGGCCTATAAACCTGTATTCAGGTTGTCCCAATGATACTGGAAAGCTGTCACTAAAGTAATCTAAAGATCTGAAGAACTGGTGCGCTACCCAAAGGTCTGCATTAAGTTACTTATGTAGCTATCACAATTGTTTTTTTTTTTCAAGATAAGATCTGAAAATGGTTCTAGCTGTTTAGGGTTATTGCATATGAAGAACAAACAAGGGCTGAGGATACACTGGTAGAGTGAGCTTGTTCAAAATGGTAGAATGCTAACCTAACAAGCACAAAGTCTGGGTTCCACCTCAGGGGAAAGAGAGAGGGGAGAAGGAACAGGGAAAAAACAAGCCCAAACAAAAGCAGCTGTTGGCTCAGGCCTATCAGTTAAAGCAATACAAAATAAGAAATGGTGGCAAACACATGATCCAAGCTTTGATAGTAAGTAGGAAAGCAACAGATCCCTTTTAGCAAATGCAGTAAATTATCCATGATATACAGTAGAAGTACAAACAACAGAAAGAGCCAAGGTATCTTTATACACATCTCTGTTGAACTGAGCAACACTGACACTCCACTTAAAAATAACAGGGCTGTCAGAGAGACTCAAGTTGTAGAGCACCTATGTAGCAGGAGCGAGGCCATGAGTTCAATCTTCAGTAACATCAATCAATCAATCAACACACTTCAAAGGTGGGTGCCAATGGCTCACATCTGTAATCTTATCTATTCAGGAGGCAGAGTTGGGAGGATCAAGGTTCCAAGCCAGCCTGGGCAAATAAATCCAAGAGACTCAGAAGTGGAAACATGGCTCAAGTTGTAGAGTGCCAGCCTTCACTGAAAATAGTGCTAAGGAGAGCACAAAGCCAAGTTCGAGCTTCAGTACCAACACTAAATAAGTAAGTAAATGCATAAATACTAAATAATAGTAAAGAAGAAAACCACAGCAAAATAAGCTACAGACTTTGAAAACGTTGGACATTTGGCTTTATGTGTATTCTTTGCGCTCTTAAACATGTTCCTACCTATCTAAAAACATCTTTCTGGTTGCGTTAGTTTTGTTTATTTTTTTCTTTCTTTGTGGTGGTACAAGAGTTGAAACTCAGGCTTTGCATTTTCTGTCAGCTTTTTCAGTCATGAATGATCCTCTACCACTCAAGTTACACTTCCAGTTATGGCTTCTTTTCTGCTTAACTGGAGATAAGAGCCTCTTGGATTTGTCTGCTCTGGCTGAGCACTGGTGGCTCACACCTGTCATCCTAGCTATTCAAGAGGTGAGATCTGAGGATCGCAGCTCAAAGCCAGCCTTGGGCAGAAAAGTTCATGAGACGCTTATCTCCAATTAACCACCAGAAAACTGAAGTGGTGCTGTGGCTCAAGTGGTAGAGCACTAGCCTTGAGCTGAAGAACTGAGGGACAGCGCCCAGGCCCAGAATTCAAGCCCCACAACTGACCAAAAAAAGAAAAGAAAAAAAAAGAAAAAAGAAGACTAGGTGGTTGCCCAAGGACTCAGGGCCAATGAATGCAAGAGACAGGCCTTTCTTGTTCAGCTCTATCACTGGACTAGGAGAGCCCTCTTGTGTTCCTTCAGGGTTAATCCTGGTTAAGAAAAAGTCTCTTAAAAAAAAAAAAAAGAAAAGAAAAGAAAAATAAAGAAAAGGCTCTCACTTAGGCTTGATATTGAATATCAGCTCAGCACCCTGCAACTAACAGGTCTGGATTACATACTGATACTACAGTGGAATGGATGGATAAAATATGAATGTTTAAGCTTTGTATTAGAGCAGGAGGTGGCAGAGGAGGCAAGAGAAAAGTATTCGTCATTTCTAGTCAATAGGCCCATTTGTCCCTGTTTTGTTTTGTCGGTTGCTGGGCTTGAACTCTGGGCCTGGGCGCTGTCCCGGCGCTCTTCAGCTCAAGGTGAGTGCTCTACCACTTGAGCCACAGCACCACTTCCAGTTTTCTAGTGGTTTATTGGAGATAAGAGTCTAAAGGACTTTCTTGCCCGGGCTGGCTTTGAATCGAGATCCTCAGATCTCAGCCTCCTGAATAGCTAGGATTACAGGTGTGAGCCACTGGCGCCCAGCTTGTCTCTGTTTTTTATTGTTGCTGTTGTTGGCTGAGGAGCCTGAACTGCATGAGGTCTGTGCATTGCTGTTGAGCTTTCCTGCTCAAGCCTTTAGCGCTTTACCACTTTGAGCCACTCATGGCTTTTTGGTGGTTAACTGGAGAAGAGTCTCCCAGGCTTTCAGGAGGTATGAGGAGGGAGGAGGGGGTTAGAAAGGGAAGAGAGAGAAATGCTCACATAATTTAATACGTAAAACAAGTCACAGGTGGACATAATCAATACATGTCCCTCTAAAGAAAGTTCCAGTTTGTAGCTAGTAGGCAAGGAGTCTCAGAATCACAGCTGCAGAGACTCCTGGACCTGAAAACAAGAGCCAAAAACCTACCTGCCACCAGTGCTCCAGCTGAGCCAGGCTCACAGACCTCATCTTAAACTAATGATATTATCACTATAGAATACAAAGGTTTTTGTTTTCCTCTTTCTGTTTCCAAAATGTAAAACTGTTCAAAAGATTTGTTAAATGTTCTAAATAAGTGTTTGTGCAAGCATGTCAAACCACTTCACCATTAGCACACACTGCATAGGCTGGAACAGGTCAGTCAGTACCTCACTGTTCGCAAGGCATTCAACCTACCTCACAGGGTTGCTGTTGTAAAGACCGTCAGACTTTGAAAAATGCCTTGAGCTCCTCGAAGGAAAAGCGCTACATAAATAAAGAACAATAAAAAGCTATTTGTACAACTTGTATTTGTAGTTTAAATAGACTTAATATTTGCTATAGTAGAAATCCTTAAGACAGTATTTAAGAACCTCATGAAGCCCTGGGTAGGCTTAACAGGTAACACTGCCAGGTCTTCCCATCGATTAAAAGGCCTGAAATATCTTCAGGCATTCTAGTCAAGCGCCTGTCTTTAAGTGATAAATATCTACCAGTGGATATGAATAAAAAAGACATGCGTAAGTAAAATGGAAATGAGTTACAGTTGTGAAGGGATGAGTAAGGGCTGTAAACTCATACTGAAATTAGAAAAGTTCCAAAGGAAAGTCCGCTGAGACAATTCTTGTTGCTTTATAATACCATTTCCTCAGCCTTCTGCTGGCCCAGGTCTCTTCCACTTAATATACTGTGAAGTATCAGCACACTCTGCCTAAACAAGAGGCATTATTGAACACCCCCCCCATGTTTACAAAACCCTGCCCCAAGCTCCCTGTGGAAACTCAGAGCTATTATCAACAACTCTATTCAAGAATTTCAGTTTCGTAACTGACAAGTCAATTAAATCTGAATTATCCCCAATAAATTAAAATTAACATCTATACCAAGTACTTATGCTTAGTAGGTAAACATAGGAATAGATGAAATGTAAGCATTCAAAGCCAGGAACAGTGGGTAGTACATGCCTGTGATCCAGAATTCAGGAGTCTGAGGCAGGAAGATTGAAAATTCCAGGCCAGTCTGGGCCATATAGGAAGACTGTCGCAAAAGCCCTTTCCAAACTAACAAACAACAGTTCTCAAGATACAGCTAGTTGTGGAAATTCTCAAAATCACTAAACATAACTTTTTTCTTTTTTGGTTAGTCATGGGGCTTGAACTCAGAGCCTGGGTGCTATGCCTGAACATTTTTGCTCAAAGCTAAAGCTGTACCAACTTGAGTCACAGCTCTATTTCCAGTTTTTTTTTGTTTGTTTGTTATTAACTGGAGGTAAGAGTCTCAGGGACTTTCTTGCCTAGGCTGGCTTTGAACTGCAATCCTCAGATCTCAGCTTCTTGAGTAGCTAGGACTACAGGCATGAGCCACCAGTACTCTGCTTAAACATGATATTTTTAAGCATTATTCCTAAAGGTAAGCTGAAAGAAATAGAGGGGAAGCAAAATGGTATAAAGAGAAACTAAAAAAAAAAAGGCCTACCAATTACAAATATATTAGCCTCAACAAAGACCACTTACACAAGTAAACAGACAGTACACAAAATTAAAATCCAAGATCCATTACCTTCCCATCACTTCTTTTACATCCCAAAGATGGAGAGGTCCATAAAATGATAACTTAGGAGTATTTTATAAACTTCTCCAATAAAGCACTGTTGGTTTTCCTTATTTTCCTTATTATCTTGAAAAATGATTTAAGTCAATACTCTGGTGAATTCTTGCTCAAAAGACAAAGAGCTAAAAAGGACAGTTTTATCTTCAAGTAAGTGCACTAAGACAAAATGAAAATGTGTACACTTCCCTAAGTTGATTAGCTTGATTGATAGGGATTTCAGCGCACTTGTGGGCACAGCTGAGTGCTGAGTGCTTGCTTTACACAGACAAGGACCCCAATTCCACCCCCAACAAAGCTAGGGGAAGAGATTCCCAAATGCAGCTGCTGCTCACAGGAGAGGGCTGAGACCCACACTGAAAGCCTCAGTGGGGGACGAGGAGGATGTCACCTGCATCACCACTCTAGCCTGAAGCCAATCTGCCAGGAGAAGGCTTTGGATACCTCTCCACACACTGTTTTAGGAACTATTCAAATTGTAATGGAATGCTGCACTGAAAACTGTGAGCAAATATTTCTTCTGCAGGGTTTGCTTTTATTTTAGATGCTTCAATTTCTGTGTGTACAGGATGCATTTTGACTTAAAGAGTCCTTAGGCTATTGAGGTCTTAAGTTGAAATGGTAATTGTGTGGTAATTCTGCACTTCACATTTCATTTTCCCTTCCTTCATGGCCTTGGGAATGGAACCCAGAGTCTTCTGCATGGAGGCAAATGCTTCTGATTTCACACTTTATGAATACATGGTTTTAAGTGAGCCATCAGAAACTATAGTTAGGAATTTCTTATCCACTGGCCACATCACATACAATAAAAGCCACAGACCTGATAGATTAAATCTAACTATGCCAAACAGTCTGGGAAATGTAAAGTCCTAGATCCCACCCTAAAGCTACTGACTAAATCTGCATTTTGAAAGGTTGTTGGTGACTCATACTAAACTAATGATAAGCATCGATGACCTCGAGAACTTCTGTAAAAAATTAGTGTTGAGTACTGGTGGCTTACACCTGTAATCCTAGCTACTCAAGAGGCTGGGATCTGAGGATCATGCTTCAAAGTCAGCCCAGGCAGAAAGGTCCATGAGACTTATCTCCAATTAACTACCAGAAAAGTGAAAATGGTGCTGTGGCTCAAGTGGTAAGGACTAGCCTTGAGCTGAAAAGCTGAGGGACAGAGCCAAGTTTAAGCCCCGTGACCAACAAAACAAAAAGGCTGGATAAACAGCTGTTAGTTTTGGGTAAACAGGTGTGGTACTCAGTATACATTATGTTGGAGAGCCGGGAGCCCTGTGGCTTACGCCTGTAATCCTAGCTACTCAGGAGGCTGAGATCTGAGGATCTTAGTTCAAAGCCAGCCTGGGCAGGAAAGTCGGTGAGACTCTTATCTCCAATAAACCACTAGAAAACTGGAAGTGGCGCTGTGGCTCAAGCGGTAGAGCACTCGCCTTGAGCTGAAGAGCACAGGAACAGTGCCCAGGCCCAGAGTTCAAGCCCCACGAGGGGAACACTGAGAGTGAGGGAAGGGGTGAAACTGTCCAATAAGAAATGTACTCATTACCTGACTTATTAGACAGTAACCCCTGAGTACATCACCTTTATAACAAAACAAAACAAAAACCCTAGAGTGTTTCCTATTGAAGTAGCCAACAACAGGTTAACCCTTCATCCTCCGGAATAAAGCACAGGGATTTCAGAATAGAAGTTATTTCACAAGTCATTAATTTTGATAAAGTCATTTTCCAATTTTTCCATATCCTTGTATCTCAATATACAAGGCATAATCAAAACAAGCCCTGAAGTTTTATCACCGTTCAATGGCTCCAAGCCAAACTTAAAAACCTTTGTAGTAGCGGGGCACTGGTGGCTCACGCCTGTAATCCTAGCTACTCAGGAGGCTGAGATCTGAGGATCGCGGTTCAAAGCCAGTCCAGGTAGAAAAGTCTGTGAGACTCTTATCTTGAATTAACTGGTAGAGTGCTTGCCTCGCGTGGATGAGGCCTTGGGTTTGATTCCTCAGCACCACATAAGTAGAAAAAGCAGAAGTGGTGCTGTGGCTCAAGTGGCTAGCCTTGAGCTGAAGAGCTGAGGGATGGCACCCAGGCCCAGAGTTCAGGCCCCACCACTGACAAAAAAAAAAAAGCAGGCCCTGGGCTGGGAAGGTGGCTCAGTGGTAGAGCGCTTGCCTTGCATGCTCGAGGCCCTGGGTTCGATTCCTCAGCACCACATAAGCAAAAAGAAAAAAGCCGGAAGTGGCGCTGTAGCTCAAGTGGTAGAGCACTCGCCTTGAGCTGAAGAGCTGAGGGACAGCGCCCAGGCCCAGAGTTCAAGCCCCACGGCCGACCAAAAAAAAAAACCTTTGTAGTGACTCAGAAGACTACTACAGTGTGTTAAAAAAAAAAAAAAAAAAAGAGGAGGGCTAAAGGGTGACATAAAATCTGTTAAGGTCTTCTAGGAGAAGAATACACTGGTCTTGAAACGGACATGGAATACTTCATTTCTGTGATTAAAGAGATAACAGCAGGACATTGCACAAAAATCCCAAAGGTACCTTATTACCTATTTCTAGAGTCAAAATACAGTCAATGAGTGAAGAATGTGTGTCTTGTTTTAATCTTAGCAAAGGATAAAACTAAAAGGAGCAAAAAGGGACACATTTCCTCTGGCCACCTCTCCTCACCAATTCCTATGCCCCGTTAGTGCTCGTCACCTGGTTTACTGAGTTGTCCCAGACTCTAGGCTACAAAATGCCAGTGTGGGTGTGATGGGGAAGAGAGGAAATGGGCCAGGCTGGCTTGCCACTCTTAAACCTCTGCTGGTATGCTTACCCACCAGACTCAAAACCCTTTGCCGGAGAGGCAGAGATAAAAGCTCAAAGCCCTATCCATTTGGTGACAAAAACAATATAAAACAATGTAAGGATCTTTTTTGAGAGATGATATTTTGAGAAAGAGAATAAAGGAATTAGAGACCTCAGATGCTAGAGGATGAGAGATGTCAAGATTGATATAACAGTAATTGGTAAATATAGCATCTGACACTAAACACACACATCTGTTTGTTTTTTACCTGCATCCTGAATATAAACATGTCCTTAAAAATATTCCCTTTATGATTACTGGCTGAAGTGCAAGTTAAACATGAAGGCAAAATTCCTACATTCAGAGACTTTTTTTTAATACATCAGTACTAGAGCTTAAATTCGAGCTGGACATTCTCCCTTAGCCTTTTCTGCTCAAGGTTGGTATTCTACCATTTATTTAAGCCACAACTCCAGCTTTTAGCTGGATAACTGAAAATAAGAGTTTCACAAGACTTTACTGGCCCAGCTAGCTTCAAACCATAATACTTAGATCTCAGTCTCCAGAGTAGCTAGGATTACAGATGTGAGCCACCAGTGCTTGGCTTCAGTGGCAATTACTTAAAAAAACAAAGTCAAAACTGATGCAGCCTACTATTTAGGCTTGGAAAAAAAAAATCTACTTTCAAGATTGTTCATGATTCTCTTGACACATACAGACCTTCTTTCTATATCATAGCATTTTTCTTTTATGTCATTTAAAATTTTGAACAAAAGTAAAATTAGTACAAATTCAACATCATAATCTGTTCCATTCAGGAGAAAGATTTAACATTACCTAGTATTCATTTTGTGTGTTTGAAAACCTAAATAAGGATCAAGAACCAAACTAGTTGCTAAGTCGTCATTTTCACAGAGTTCCTTGGCAGACATTCCAGAAGATGGTACGTAGCGACTCTGTCCTTCAAATCCTGAGTTGCCATTACCTGTGAAATGCAAAAGAAAGAAAGAAAAAGTAATTAAAACTGACAATTACTTAAACCTATCATAAAAATCCTGAGATTCATTTTTCATTCAGGCTAGTAATCCAGAACTAAAACTGCTTATTTCAATTAGTAATCAAGAAGTTAATATTTCTTGCATGAAACAGAAAAGCCAATGCAGTAACCCTAACTCTAATTCTGATATTGACAGAATTTGGGTAACTGACAGTATTATCAATGTTCCTAAGAGTGAGGTCTGGATAGACAGAAGACTCCTTTGGTTTACTCTCCCTTCCTAGGAGTAACTGAGAAATAAGACAGAGGATGTTCCCCTAACAAGATAGCACACAGGGCCAGTGCAGACAGGGAGGGCCAGGAGAGGAACGCAAGTCAGTTTCTATGGTGTCAGAACTACTGATCTCAAGTACAAAACAGAGTGGAAGAGTTAAGGTCAGCTTCCTGCTTTGGGCATCTGAATTATTACTAGCCCTTTGAGGCCTTGAGGTTAAGAAATGCCCATGATTGCAAAGTGAAGCAGAAAGAAGTGGAGAGAAAATGACAGGCTTGCTTCTAACTAACCTCTGAAACAATTTCAATGAATGGACTGAAAAATGCAACTGAAAGAAATAGGTTTAAATGGAAAAGCAAGGTCGGGAGGGCAGACCAAATTCATGGGGACGGCTTCCTCTGCCCTGGTGAAACTATGTGTATGTCACTGAAAGCCTGCCCATGGAATTAACCATTACTTCAGAGAGGACCCTAGCAGTGTAACTGAGGCTCTCACAACCAAGAAGTAGTACTAGGGGCATAGCTCAAATAGTAGTATGCTTTCCTAGCAAATGGGAGGATCTACCTCAATCCCTAGTGCAGAGGTTTAAAAAAAAACAACCAACAAGTGGAAGAATTTGACTCTGTGAAGTTTAACTTGCTTTTTATATTCCTCCACAGAATGAAACACACACGTAGGTCCCTCCAAAGGCAGGTTTATGATTCTGCAATCAAATTAAGCACATAGGTAAATAAAGAACTATTAAAACTTTTTTTTTTTTTGGCCAGTACTGGGGCTTGAACTCAGGGCCTGGGCACTGTCCCTGAGCTTCTTTTGCTCAAGGCTAGCACTCTACCACTTGAGCCATAACGCCACTTCCAGCTTCTTCTGCGTATGTGGTACTGAACAATCGAACCTAGGGCTTCATGCATGCTAGGCAAGTCTCTAACATTAAAGCCACATTCCCAGCCTGATTTTTTTTTTTTTTTAAGAAAACCAGCAGATTTCTCTAACCAAGTAAGTAGAAATTGAGAAGGAAAAGGGGAATGCAGGGAGTACCCACTCCCCGATCAGGTAGGAGCAGAGGCTCCGTAACAGCGTTACTAAAATAGAATAACCTATATTATACATCCACAGATTTGTGTAACAATCACTCAAAAAAGAAACTCCGTATTCATTACAAGGCATACCTATCATCCTCCATACTGCACAGTCCCTGGCAACCACTAAGGAGTTGCTTATTCTGAAAACTTCACATACATGGATTCTGCAGTGTGTGGCTTTGTGACTGGCTTCTCTCTATATGAGCATGTTTTTCCAGGTTCATCCACGTGATACCATAAATCAGTACTTCCTCCTTTATTATTTTTTGTCGTCCATGGGGCTTGAACTCTGGGCCTGGCCCCTGTACCTCAGCTCTTCAGCTCAAGGCTAGTGCTCTACCACCTGAGCCACAGCACCACTTCCAGTTTTCTGGTGGTTTATTGGAGATAAGAGTCTCACGGACTTTTCTGCCCAGGCTGGCTTTGAACCATGATCCTCAGATCTCAGCCTCCTGAGTAGCTGGGATTACAGGTGCGAGCCACTGGCGCCCGGCTTTTCTTCCCTTATTATAGTCAATGGTATGCCATCGTATGGATGGACACATCTTGCTAGGTGGATATCTGAGTTGTTTGCACATTTTAGCTATTATGAATAATGCTACTCTGAACATCTGAGTAAAGTTATTATGTGTACATGTTTTTCAATTCTATCTACAAGCAGAACAGCTGTTCATACAGTAACTCTTTGTAACATCTATGGAACTTCCAAATGTTTGCCCAAGTGGAGGTTGGTTACATCCCCACTACCAGTTTAAGAATTCTAAGTTCTCTGCATCCTTGTCAACACAAACTACCCTTTTATTGTTGTTTTCTTTGAGGTATAGTCTCTCTATGTTGCCCAGGGTTGGCCCTGAATTGAACCTCCTGCTCCAGCTTCCTAAGTGTTGGGATTACAGGTGTGTGCCACCACACTTGCCAGTGTCTGATTCTAGACATCTTAGAAATCTCATGGTTCTGATTTACATTTCATAGTGATTAATGATGTTAAACATCTTTTCATGTGTTTAATGGCCTCTGCATCTGGAGCAAGTTGTGTCTATTCAGATCCTTTGCTCATTCTAAAACTGGATTTTGTCTTTTATTGTTGCTTTTGAAGAGTTCTTTGTATACTCTGGATTCTAGTTCTTTGTGACACACCATTTGAAAATATCTCCTGTGGTCCCCTTTGCTTGTTAGTGACCCTTAAAGGATAAACACTTACCACTTTGATGGACTTTGTGTTGTTCCTGTCTGTATATTTAATGTCATATCTAAGAAAACAGTGTCTAATCCAAAGTCAGGAAAAATTTTGTCAGGATTTTCTTCTAGGATGTTTATAGGTTTTGCTTTACTTTTAGGCCTTTGGTTCATTTTGAGTTACTTTCCACATATGGTGTGAGCTGTGCATTCAACTTACTCCATCACTGTCTTGATTATCGCAGCATTGTAGCGAGCTCTGAAACCATAAAGGTTTAGTTCTTCTTTGTTCTTTAGCAAGATTGTTTTGACAATTCTGGGTCTCTGAAATTTCCTTAGGCATTTTAGGGTTGGGTTGTCATTTTTTGTGAAGAAGCAACTTAGGATTTTGATAGAGACTCTGCCAACTCCATGGGCCAGTCCAGGAGTATCGCCACCAGATCAATACTGTCTTCTAAGCAATGAACATCCATGTGATCCACTTATTTAGGTCTTAAGTTTCTTCAACAGTTTTACAGCTTTCAGAGGTAAGTTTTGTGCTGTTGCAGGTTTTATTCCTATCTTTTGGGATGTCATTGTAAATGAGATTTTTGTGTGTGGTGCTGAGGATAAAACCCAGGGCCTTAGCCATGCCAAGTGAGTGCTCTACTTTAGGAATTTTAGGGGTTTTTTTTTCCTTTTTCTCTTTCTTTTTTCCTTTTTGAGGCAAGGTTGCTTATATAGCCCAGCTGGCCTCAGACTCCTGAGGGCTGGATTCTGACTTTGTATTTTGCAACTCTGACCAACTTGCTTATTAACTATGATAGTTTTTGGCAGGTTCTTCAGGGTTTTCTATACATGCAATTTTGGTAGTGACTCTTGATTTTTCAATTTAATTGGATTGAGAGGCCTAAGAGATCAGTAAAGTAAACCCCTGGTTTGTCTGTGAGGGTGTTCCACAGATTATGAGGATTCTGAATTAATCCCTGGTTTAATCAACCGATAGATTCACAATTTAAATACACCACTGGGATGTGGCTGAACGGTAGAGGGTGGGGCCCTGTGGGGGAAAGTAGGTCACTGAGGATATGTATTGGGGGCTTTTTGTTGGCCTGCTTATTCCTGCTGCTGCTTACTTTGTTTCCTGTCTGCCAATGCTCTCTGCCACGTTTGGCTTTCTCCCCTGTCCATACAATGGAGCCTGTAGTCCTAGCTACTCAGGGAAGTCTATGAGACTCTTATCTCCAATTAACCATCAGAAGTGGAGCTCTGGCTCAAAGTGGTAGAACCCTACTAGCCTTCAGCAAAAAAAAAAAAAAAAAGCTCAAGGAAAGCACTACAACCCTGAGTTCAAACCCCACAAACAACAAAAAACTTTTCTCAGGTGTTCTAACAGATCAATAATATAAGTTGCTTTTCTACTTCTTGCTGAATCTTAGATGGGACCAGGATTTGGATGCAGGGTCGTGTGCTTGCTATGCTAGCATCTACCCTGAGTTTATGCCTCTCATTGGGTTTTATCTGGTTTATTTTGGAAATAGGAGTCTGTGACAGACTTTTTTCCCCCCAGGTTGGCTTTACACTTGGATCCTCCAGATCTCAGCGTACTCATAGTTAGGATCACAGGTGGGAACCACTGGTGCCTAGCTGGTTCACTTTGTTATGCAACTGCTCTTGACAGAACCTCTAGCGCAGTGATTATAGATGTGGTGAAATTGGATATCCTTGTCTTGTTCTTATATCTTAGGGAAAAGCAGTTTGTCTTACCACAAATCTGGTATCAGCTCTCTCATGAACATCCTGTATCAGGTTGAGATTTCTTCCTATGCTAGTATTGGTTCCCATCCCAAAAGTGTGTTAAATTTTGCTAAATTCTTCTCCCAAATCTACTGAGATGATTGTGTGATTTCCTTTTTTTGCCCTTTATTCTACTGGTCTAGCTTACTGTACTGACTTTCAGGTGTCACATCACTCCTGCGGTAAGTGCCATTAGGTCATGCTATAGAATGAATGGGTATACTAGCACTGGGGCTCGTGCCTTTGTCTGGCTTTCTCACTCATGGCTGGTACTCTACCACTTGAGTCATGTCTCTACTTTACGCTTTTTGCAGGTTATATGGAGATCAGAGTCTTGAGAATTTTTCTGCACAGACTGGTCCAAACCTTGATTCTCAGATCTCAGATTTCTGAGTAGTAGGATTATAGGTGTGAGCCACCATTGCCCAGCTAGAATCTCTTTCATATGCTACTGGAAATAGACACACACACACACACACAATTTAATTTTTGGATGGTGCTAAGTATTGAACTCATGGCCTCATGCATGTTTGGTAAGCACAACACCAACTGAGCTACTTCTCAGCTTGATTTGTTAGCATCCTATTTACTTTTTTTATTTTTATTTTTTGGTCTGTTGTGGGGCTTGAACTCAGGGGCCTGGATGCTGTTCCTGAGCCTCTTTGTGCTCAAGGCTCTCACTCTACTACTTGAGCCACAGTGCCACTTCAGGTTTTTGAGTAATTATTTCGAGATCAGAGTCTCACAGGGACTTTTCTACCTGGGCTGGCTTTGAACTGCAAACCTCAGATCTCAGCCTCCTGAGTAGTTAGCATGACAGGTGTGAGCTACTGGCACCAAGCCTTATTTAGAATTTTTATATCCATCTTCACAAGAGATATTATAGTTTTCTTGTAATGTTTGGTTATGGTAGTAATAAAATGAGCTACGAAATATCCCTTTCTTGTTTATTTTTTGGAAGAGTTTGTGAAGAACTGGTATTAATTTTTTAGACATCTTAAAGAAGTCATCAATAAACTATGGATCTGAGATTTTTTTGTGGATAGGTGTTTTTTGGTTTTATTTCTCTCTCTCTCTCTCTCTTTCTCTTAATCCTGGGGCTTGAACTCAGAGCCTGGGCATTCCCTAGCTTTTTTGCTCAAGGCTAGTGCTCTGCCACTTGAGACACAGCTCCACTTCTGGCTTTTTGGTGGTTAACTGGAGCTAAGAGTCTCATGGACTTTGCTGTCCTGGCTGGCTTTGAATTGTAATCCTCAGATCTCAGCCTCCTGATTATCTGGGATTATAGGCATCAGCCACCAGTGCCTGGCTACATTCTTTTGTGTATCACTATGGTTTGAAGTTAGGGCTTCACACTCATTAGGCAGGTGCTCTACCACACTAGGCCCTGGTTTTGTTTAACTACTGATTCTGGCTGGGCGCTGGTGGCTCATGCCTGTAATCCTAGCTACTCTGAAGGCTGAGATCTGAGGATCATGGTTCAAAGCCAGTCCAGGTAGAAAAGTCTGTGAGACTCTTATCTTGAATTAACTGGTAGAGTGCTTGCCTCGCGTGGATGAGGCCTTGGGTTTGATTCCTCAGCACCACATAAGTAGAAAAAGCAGAAGTGGTGCTGTGGCTCAAGTGGCTAGCCTTGAGCTGAAGAGCTGAGGGATGGCACCCAGGCCCAGAGTTCAGGCCCCACCACTGACAAAAAAAAAAAAGCAGGCCCTGGGCTGGGAAGGTGGCTCAGTGGTAGAGCGCTTGCCTTGCATGCTCGAGGCCCTGGGTTCGATTCCTCAGCACCACATAAGCAAAAAGAAAAAAGCCGGAAGTGGTGCTGTGGCTCAAGTGGTAGAGCGCTAGCCTTGAGCTGAAGAGCTGAGGGACAGCACCCAGGCCCAGAGTTCAGGCCCCACGACCGGACCCAAAAAAAAAAAAAAAGCAGGCCCTAAGTTTAAATCCCAATACGCTCTCCTCAAATTTACTAATTCAATCTTGTATTAGCTCTATTTTTATTTACTTAATCATTTGAAGTAGCTTATTCTAGAAGCTGTATCTATTTTATCTAAGTGTGTAGTTGTTGGTGTTATTCAGTTACGTCATCTTTTATTTTTGTAAGGCAGTAGGAATGTCTTTTCTTTTATTCCTAGTCATTTGAGTCTTTTTTTTTTGCTTTTGTTGATCATTTCAAATCATCAATTTTTATTTATGCCAACTGACTCTATATTTTTTTCCTACTCTTATATTAACTTCTATCCTTATTAATTTTCTTCCTTCTACTTGCTTTGGGTTTGGTTTGTTATTCTTTTCCTAATATTCTAAACGGAAAATTAAGTAATTGGTTTGAGACTCTTTTGTGGTGGTTCTGGCTGAATACCAGGGCAGTGTATTCAGTTAATCCCCACTTGAGCCATGACCACTCCCCCTTCTTGTTTTAGTTATTTCTTAGATAGGACTGCATGTTTTTGCCTGCACCAGCCTCTGTCCATGATCGTTCCATGTCTGTTTCCCACATGGCTGGACTTACAAGTATAAAACACCATGCCCAGTTTATTCTTGAGATAAGGTCTTGATCATTTCTTTTTGCTTGGGCTGGCTTTGAGCTATGAACTCCCAACCTCTGCTTCCTATATAGTTGGGACTATAGGCATATGCCAACATATCTAGCTAGAACTCTTTATTCACCTCAAAGTGTTTTAGGGTCTTTTGATCCACTGGTCATTTAAGAGCATGTTAATGAATTAGTAAATTCCCCAAATTTCTGTTACTGATTTCTCCTTTTTGGGGAGTAGGTGGGAGAGAGTCCTGGGGCTTTAATACAGGGCCTGGAGCTATCCCTGAGCTTCTTTTGTTAAAGGCTAGCATGCTACCATTTGAGCCACACCTCCACCTCTGGCTTTTTTACTAGTTTATTAGAGATAGAGAGTTTCATAGACTTTTTTGCCCAGGCTGGCTTCAAACTAGATCCTCAGATCTCAGCCACCTGAGTAGCTACAATTACAGGTTGTGAGGTTGCAACGCTCCATGTCTGGTTTCTAATTTTACACCATTGCAGTTGGATAACATACTATGTATAATTTTCAGTCTTCTGAGTTTATTGAGACTCGTTATATGGCCTGCCACTGGTCTGTCTTGGACGATGTCCCGTAAGTACTTCAGAACATGTATTCTGCTGCTGTTGATCCTCTGTCCAGTTGTTGTATCTGCTCCTGTCTGTGGATATTGATGTATCCATCCATTTCTTTCTTCAATGTCAGTTTCTATCCCATGTTTCTTGGGGGCTCTGAGGTTAGGTACAGCTGTTGTATTTTCTAACATGGAGCAACTCTCTGTGTTCTTCTGTTTTTCTTCATCTCTGTCTCTTTTTGACCACTCTTGCCTAACAACATTCCATGCTGCTGTCTCCATGTCTTGGGTTTTCCCAACCTATCCTATGTTTACATGGCAAAGTGGGATCCATGTAATGATCATTTTCTAAGTTCTTATGTGTTTCCAACAATTAAAACTAAAACCTTTCTGCACTTTGATGCATAAAAACATGACAATGTATTCCTAACAACTGACCACAACCATCACAACTGAGGAGAAAACCATATGTGCTGAGCCCTCAAGGGAAGAAAGCCCGTGCTGACACAGACCACAGCCTCAGGTGAGCTGGTATCTATCTATGCAGAGGAGAGACCATGTAGTCTCCAGTTCACTCCTATCCTTATCCCAAACAGGAGCTACGGTGGTTCACTACAGAAACAGTGACCTGGTCTGGCATGAGAAGAGTAAGGGCAGCCTGGGCCCAATGAACCGCATGAACCCCTACAGGGTAAGGAGAAGGAAATGAATGGGAATTGGTACTCTATGTGAGAGTGTGCTGAAAGCTCAGGCTAATTAAACTAACAGCAACCTGCCAATCCTAACATTAATTAAGAATATTCAATGATGGCCAGATTACTGTTGAGAGAAAGAAAATCTGAAACTCTTAACGTGGACACATACTTTTGGACCATTAGATATAATCATATGTTTAGGCATTTTAGGATGAGAAAAACTAAGAGACTAGTGCCAAACCTACAATGTTCTGAGTTCTCAAAAAACAGCCTCATTTCTGTGAAGCAGTGCAGAGGTGACACTAAGTTGCTTCACTGTGGGGACAGGCGGTGCTCAGTCTATAGTCCAAGCTGGCCTGAATGCTACATAGCCAGGTAAAGCCAGAACTTGTAAGTCTGCTTCTGCCTCCCAAAGGCTAGGATTACAGACATGTACCACATGCCTGGCTCTTAAAGCAGTTAGTTCTATCTATTCTCCATTTTCCTTATTATACACATTAAAACCTAATATTCTACTCATCACATAAGTTAGAGGTGACTTCATTATTTATGTTATCCTATCAAACATTTATGGACGTTACCAAAAAACTACACACATACTTACATCAAAGGTAAAACAGTAAGATCAATGGTATTTTAAAAAGTTTTTATAGAACAGATCAACCATTCAAATACAAGTTCTAAGAAATACTATGTTATAGATTTTTTTAAAGCACAATTAAGATTGTATACAGCATTAAAGTTCAATTTTATGTAGACCAGTTCCTTGGGAAGTTGAGGTAATAGGATCACTTGAACCAGGAGATCAAGTCCAATCTGGACCATACAGATAGAGGATCCTGTTCTGGGGGAAAGTGGTGTAATAAAAATCGATATAGCTTTGAGAACAGAAAGATGATACTGTTAACTATGAGAATGTGCTAACTTGTTTTGATGACAAAAAGAGAACAATCCACATTGCAAACTGGAAAGAATTGCTGCCCCACACCAGAATGAGAACAGTGATAGATGACATGTACATACATCTGCTTGACCTCCTCTCCACTGTGTTTCTGCCAGTCTTCAGGGTATCCTTGCCCGTGTGCTGTAATTTTGATTGATTCTGCTGATGGTCATTAGACAACTTGCCTCCATTTCTCCTGCCATTCACCACCATGTTCTTGGATTCTCCCAACCACTTCATACCCACAGACAGCCTGACCCAGGTGCATTTAGTCACTCTCTTCAAATAGCTTAGAGAATAACTGCAATGTTCTCTCCTAACAGAAACAAAATATGAAAAACAAAACAAAATGGAGGTAAATACATGAACGACCATGCTAAATAGACCGTAAGAAAGATACATGACTGAAATTAACTTAATAATTATGTCTCCACACTTTTATAAACTGTCATGGCTCCTTCAACCATGTCACAGGATCCTGGACTACATGTCCCAGACTTTACAAAGCATATTACGTAAGGCAGAAATTCATTTGGACTTATTTGGCCCAACAAATATTTATCTTTCAGTTACCAATCAATAAGAATTATCTTTGCCTTATGTGCTGATACCTATGTATAGTTCTATAATTTGCTCAAATGGTTTATTTTGGTAATGGTCTATGAACTCTGTTAATAAATCTATAAAGAAATTACCTCTTTAGTCCCAAGGAAATTTTATAAAAGGCACATAGGCAAACTTTTGTCCACCATGGTAAGGGCCTACTATTATGCTAGCTATCACTCATAACTTACAGCATAAGAAAACTACAAACTAAATTTAATAGAGGAACAAGAATAAGGCATATAAAGGACTATGCATCTTTTTTTTTTTTTACTGTTAGTTTGAAGTCACTGTTGAAGGTATTTAAGGTACCAATGTACAATTATCAAAGTAATGACTACATGGAAATCCTGCCTTATGGTTGGTACCTTAACAATGGCAGCAATACCAAGAGACTATGATATCTTTGGTAATGAAGAGATGCCCCTCACAATCTTTATTTTAATTAGATGGAGTTGAGAACTGAATGGTTTGGGTAATGAGGGATATAATTTATAAAGAACTTTGCAAATGAGGGTTTCATGGATGTTTGCTACTAAATGGATGAGAAAAAAAAAGATATCCGTGATAATGCTTTATGAAGGAATTTTTTTTTGGGGGGGGGTCTGGTCATGGGGCCTGAACTCTGGGCCTGGGCTCTGTCCCTCAGCTCTTCAGCTCAAGGCTAGCGCTCTACCACTTGAGCCACAGCGCCACAGTCCGGCTTTTTTCTTTTTTGTTTATGTGGTGCTGAGGAATTGAACCCAGGGCCTCAGGCATGCAAGGCAAGCGCTCTACCACTGAGCCACCTTCCCAGCCCTTCATGAAGGAATTTTGGAGGTGTCACTCAGTGGCAGAGTGGCTGCCCTAAGTTCACGCCCTAAGTGGAAGCCCTAAGTTCACACCCCAGTACTACACACACACACATATACACACACACACACACACACACATGCACACACGCACAGTGCAGAGTGAACTAAGGCTAGGAATGTAGTTTAATGGCAGAGCACTTGCATGGCATGCTGAGGCCCTGGAATTAATCCCCAGCAACTTCCCCTCCCCCGCCACACACAAATTTAAAGTAAAAAGGCCTAAAGGGGTCACAGGGCCTGAACTCTGGGCCTGGGCGCTGTCCCTCTGCTCTTCCACTCAAGGCTAGCGTTCTACCACTTGAGCCACAGCACCACTTCTGGCTTTTTCTGCTTATGTGGTGCTGTGGAATCAAACCCAGGGCCTCATGCATGCGAGGAAAGCACTCTACCACAGAGCCACCTTCCCAGCCCCTAAAGGTCTTTTTAAAGGAATTACAAAAATAAAGACCTTCAAAGCTAACAGCAACTCCTTCAACACACAGAATGTGCAGTGTGTGGCCACACACTCAAGGCCATGTAATCAATCTGCAACAAAAACTTGCAACAGCACTTTTGTGTGTGTGTGTGTGTGTGTGTGCTAATCCTAGCGCTTGAACTCAGGACTTAGGCATTGTCCTGAGCTTGTTTGCTCATTTGAATCATTGGAACCACAGCTCCACTTGCAGTTTTTTGGTGGTTAATTGGAGATAAAGGTCTCACAGACTTTCTTGCCCAGGCTGGCTTCAAACCATGATCCTCAGATCTCAGCCTTTTGAGTAGCTTATAGGTATAAACCACAGCACCCCGCTGCAACAGTACTTTTATCCAAGGGTCTCTAAACTTCAAGAAACATAGTCAATTCCCTTTACCTTATATAAGCACAGAAAAGTAAACGTGGTCAGTTCCTGGGGGAGAAGACGCTGACCTCACACATATAAGCATGTGTCCCACTACTGAGCTTCACTCCGTGGAAATGCTTATCTGGATGTGCCTCAAAACCCCAAACACAAACCCTCAGAATTCTTTGTGTGAATTCACAGTAAGATAAAATGTGCATGTGAGCAACATGATCAAATGAAAGGTAAAAGAATACCGGACTGAGGTTAAGGATAGTCTTTCAATTGACCTCTAATATCAGGTTTTTTTTTCATGGTCCCTTTTCTATTTAAATTCAATTTATATTCAGCTTTTAATGTGCTTGTCTTTTTTTTTTTTTTTTGCTTTATGTTTAAAACTTCTCTTTCTGTCTCTCTCCTTTTTTTTTTTGTCGGTCATGGGGCTTGAACTCTGGGCCTGGGCACTGTCCCTGAGCTTCTTTTGCTCAAGGCTAGCTAGCACTCTACCACTAAGCCACATTCCCTGTCCAAACCTTTTTTTTTTTTTGCCATTTATGAGGCCTGAACTCTGGGCCTGGGCACTGTCCCTCAGCTCTTCAGCTCAAGGCTAGCACTCTACTTGAGCCACAGTGCCACTTCTGGCTTTTTCTGCTTATGTGGTATTGAGGGATCAAACCCAGGGCCTCATGCATGCAAGGCAAACACTCTACCACTGAGCCACCTTCCCAGCCCTGTCCAAAACTCTTTATTGTTATAATAAAGGTGAAGGGTTACATGTACATAAGTCAGGTAATGGGTACATTTCTTTTTGGACAATGTCATCCCTTCCCTCATTCTCTCCCAGTAATTGTGCTTGTCTTTTGATTCTTCTTATAGGCTTCATTAAACCCACAGGGCATCAGTGCTGCTCAGATTCCAAGAAAGGGCAAGTAAGACTACATCATATATATATAAGCCAAACAAAATTTCTGTGCCACAATTTTTCTTTAAGTTTTGATATGTTTCTTGCCTGATAGACAATAAAATGGGTAAGCAAACTTATTCTTTCAACACTAGCACTTGAATCCCCTAGAAGTCCCATTAAAACAGCAATTTTACTCAGAGGAAATTCTATCCACCTAATTTTTCCTAAGAAGTAGGAAAAGTCCATCAACACAGCATTTCAACATTACCACAGTTCAGCCCATTAAGCAGAACAGAGGCTGAGATCCAGTATAGTTTATACTTATTTCAACTAAATGTGGGTTATCAGTCGAAATGGTAAGAACTATCATTTGGGTCTCATACACATGGTGGCAGATGACTACTACTGCTTCAGCAGAAGGTCTGCAGTGCACCAGGCATCTCACAGAGTGAGGCGGAGGCACTAACACGAGTGTGTGTGCCTGTGGCCACACACATACTGTCCATGTGTGTGTAGAACAGTGGGCAAAAAGGCAAAAGACCTTACCCACCAAGCTCACAGATGAACACTGTATAATTTTATGAAAGTAATTGTAATAACGTCATCAATAATTTGGCTGGGTGCTGGTGGCTCACACCTGTAATCCTAACTATTCAGGAGACTGAGATCTGAGGATCACAGTTTGAAGCTAGCTCTGGCAGAAAAATCCCCATGAGACTCTTATCTCCAATTAACCACTCAAAAACCGGAAGGGAGCTGTGGCTCAAAGTAGAAGAGCACTAACCTTGAGCAAATTGCTCAGGAACAGCGTCCAGGCTCTGAGTTCAAGCCCTACGACTGAACAAAAAAAAGGTCATCAATAATTTAGGAGTTATCTATCAATTTTTAGCTAAAAATAAACATTATTCATTACCAGTCATCATTTTGCTGCCTGGATGAATGTGGAATCTGTTCTTTCATCTTTCCTATAGGACGCCAAAAGCTATCCAATCAATACTAATGCACGCTAAGAAGGAGCAGGAGTTAAAGACATCCGTTGAAGTGAGATCTAAAGGCTTCATGGGCACCAAAGAGGCTTTCTTGGTACAGTGTGTCTGCCTTACAACACATGAGTCCATAGAGAAATGTCTCATTGGTCATGGCTGGCTGACAATATCTGAATATTAACTACTGAGTATATTTAGAAGTATAACTTATTCTCTCGATTTTATTCCAAAACTGGCAGGAAAAAAAAGAAAGTAGTACTGGCCACTCCTTAAGTGGCCTAGTATCCTAGGCCATCATCTCTATTCTGTTCATCTCTTTCTCGGTTCTGATTTCCCAATATAAAAATGTCAGAAAAGTTTTAGAAAGCCCTACATTCCAGATGCCAGTGCTGCAGACACTGAGGGTGCAGTGGGAAAGAACAAGGCTTCTGCCCTCATCCATGCTATACAAGAATCTCATACTTTTGGGGCTTTCAACTGAAAAAGTAAGAAATACTTTGTTAGGAAGAAACTTACTAATAATGAAGCACACTGGAGAAAGTAAAGCAGTAAACATGGCAGAGAATGTTTCAGGTAGAGGAGGTGATCGCAGCTTTTTCTAGGAGCACTAAAGGGAAGCTGGCAGCAATTGGAAGTGTTCACTAGGTCAGAGGAGGCAAGTGCCAAGGCCGAGGCTGCAACAGCCCAGGAGCACAACGGAGACTTAGGCACATCCTCTGGATGACCTGAAAAGCAGAAGACTGAAAGGACTGGCTGTGGTCTTCCTCTTCTGGTCCCCAGTGCTTTGGAAACCACACAAAACCAGTTCCAAAAATGGCACAGAAGTGCCATCAAGAAATCGGATCAGCCGGGCGCCAGTGGCTCACACCTGTAATCCTAGCTACTCAGGAGGCTGAGATCTGAGGATCGCAGTTCAACGCCAGCCCGGGCATGAAAGTCTGTGAAACTATTATCTCTAATAAACCACCAGAAGGGGCTGGGAAGGTGGCTCAGTAGTAGAGTGCTTGCCCTGCATGCCTGAGGCCCTGGGTTCGATTCCTCAGCACCACATAAGCAAAAAGAAAAAAAGCTGGGGGTGGTGGTGGCTGGGAAGGTGGCTCAGTGGTAGAGCGCTTGCCTTGCATGCCAGAGGCCCTGGTTCAATTCCTCAGCACCACATATGCAAAAAGAAAAAAGCCGGAGTGGTGCTGTGGCTCAAGTGGTAGGGTGCTTGCCTTGAGCTGAAGAGCTGAGGGACAGCGCCCAGGCCCAGAATTCAGACCCCATGACCGGACCCAAAATAAATAAATAAATAAATAAAACAAACTGTAAGTGGCGCCATAGCTCAAGTGGTAGAGTGTTAGCCTTGAGCTAAAGAGCTGAGGGACAGCACTCAGGCCCAGAGTTCAAGCCCCACGACTGACAAAAAAGAAAGAAAGAAAGAAATCTGATCACAGCCGGGCGCCAGTGGCACACGCCT